AATATATCAGAGATTGTTCAAGAGACACAAAGGAATGAGTGATCTTAAAGGACTCAAATCATATATCTTCAAGTTTCATGTGTACCTTTCTAAAATGATCTGCTTAAGGGATCATTTTTAGATCTCTTTAAGGGTATTACTGCGGTGCTGCTTTGCTCACCTTTTTCTTCACATTCTGCCACTTCACAAAGGGAAGGCATACCTCTCACCTCCCAGGAAACTTATTAAGATACACTGTTCTAGGATGTAAAATGAATGGAATGTCAAAGGAACAATTAGAAATAATTGTTTCCTAGAAGCTTCCTACATATTCTCATTCAAAATTCTTTATGACAGCTATTATTTGATAGTCAACTTTTAATTTTCATATTTGTTTTCAGGAATGAAAGTTAGACAGGACTTAACACTGTGTGTAGGTCCACAGAAAACCAGCCAGATGCTTATCCTAGTGGTTTACTAAAATTTTTGAGTATATGAAAACTTTGGTTACACTTGAGTGTTTGAATCTCTTACTCAAAACCACGTAAATGAGAGAATAAGCATAATTTGATTGTCATGAATAACTTATTACATATAAATGCCTTGATTATAGAGAACAAGAGACAACTTATTAAGCCACCTTTTCTTCTCAAATGAACAGATAGATTTGTTATATTTACAGGAATTAACTCCTGTCTTCATATTTCATCCCTTAAAATGCTCACATACATGCGTATATTGTTTTGATGAAAAATTTCCTAAAACACTGATTTACTTATTTTTTCTGGGCAGCTAGAGAGGAAAAAGAAAATGACCACTATTATTTCATAGCAGTTTAAACTTGGGGATAAAAATCTCTGAAAGTAAAAATGTTAGCAATATTACTTACATGTCTTTTAACAAATGACAATGCATTTTCCTTATCTCATTACACAGTACCCCAGAGTACATGTTATTGTTTATCTCTACTTTGTAAAGGGGAACATTGATGTGGCAGAGGATATCCAGATGGTAATAAGCCAAAATAGGACTAAAACATAAGCACTTGGACCCTGAGGTGTATGATTTCACACTTTATTAAATCATCTCTTATAAAAATTGCTCAACTTGCTAAGTACTGTTTTATATATATAATGTTTATAATATGCAGGTGAGGTGATGACCCCATTCCAAAGATGGAAAATCTATCCTAATTTTGGCTAGGAAAGCAATGTATGTATGATATATAATGAAGATTTTTCAAAACTTCACAAAATGTAATTTCCATTTAAGAAATGTGGGCATTTAAATAACCCTTTAAGTGCATCTCAAGGAAATGATGTGCCTTTCAAGACTTCAAAAAAGCATTCATGTCTAGGAAAATTGTATAAAGAGGACCTTGATATGTTACTTGGTCTCTTTCATTGGCTTTTGGCTAGGGATTGTTAATGAAAGTTCAATCCCAAGACACTGAGATGATGATGACACAAGCAAAAGTGTGTGTGGCTCTACACTTACCAGGTGTCTGCTTTCTAAGAGGACATTACAAAATTTGATTTTTCCCTCTGTGGAAACAAAATTAGGAAAATTTCCTAGTGTGATTTGTATTGAGTGATATCACTCTTCAGGTTTGTCATATACCACTAAGGATAAGTTGTAGCTCATTTGTCTAAAAAGTAAGGACAGGAGGTGGTGAGGAGTAATGATGAAAAAGAATGCCCTAAAAAGAATACACGGGATAACACACATAAAATATATGTGCAATCACACATATTTATCAAATATTCACTTATGTAAAATTGTTTTAATTTTTAAATTAGAGATGTTTTATATGTACAGAAAATGAGAAAATAATTCCCATATACCACCTCAACTACTCCCATATTTTATAATAAAAAATTGTTGTATAGGTTCTGAGTCCTATATTGCTTCTATTAAAATTAATTTAAATCTATAGCTTATTAATAATGGAGAGTGCCTTTAAATTCTTTTTGAAAATTTCAATGCCTCGTATTAATCAGTGGTTTACAGATGACACTGCAAAAGAATCACCTGAACTTATTAAACACAGAGCTCTGATTTTGTAAATCTGAACCAGAATCAAAGAAACTTAATTTTTAACAAAGCATTTGGGTGATTCTGATGCAACAGGTATATAGACTATATTTGAGAAACACTGGGATAGAAATTATTCTCCTTGAATGGGAAATAGCTCTTGGAAGTATATCCTGTACTATTTCCAATAAAGAGCAGGTCTAGGCTCAGACAGCGAGGGTGGGGCGGGGAGAGGGATGAACTGAGAAAGAGAGAGACTTAGCAGTACCTTTCAAATCCCCTGTCAAATCTTGTTAGAATGAAAAACAATTTTAGTGTCTGGGGTGGTTTATTGACCAATGAACACAATAGAGTTAGAAATGAAAATTTTAAAAATCTCATCTATTTGTTTAGATGCCAAAGATGAAAAATTTATCAAAGCATCCTAATATAAGATGTAATGTTATTGATAGATTTCATACACTGTATATAAATAATTTTTATTGTATACATTTTGATATGTTTGAAATTTTTACTTAAATTATTAGGCCAACAACCTCATGACACAATCTCAAAGACAAACAGGATTTATGTGAGTATATAGTTAATAATGAGATTTTGAATTCTTTAGGGTCTAATCCAAATCAATCTAAAGGTGAGTCACAGGTTATCTGAACTGCAGTACCAGGGTTAGAAATGAGTTTTAAGGCCCTTACTTATAAAAATATGCAAATATTTTTATAAGTAATATCAGCATTTTATAAGTAATATCAGCATTGTGCAGAACTAGTTAGAAATGCAGATACTCAGGCCCCACCTCAGACCTACTGAAACAAAATTTGCATTTTAACATAAACCCGAGATGACTTACTTATATGTAAAAATTTGAGAAAACTCTGTTTAAGCTATTTCTTGATCCTTTCCAAAGCTTCACTGCTTTGTTCTAATTTCCAGCACTATTCCCATTTCTCTCACTCATCCACATACTCCATTATTTTTATTTAAGAGAGTCATCTCTTCTTCCCTCTTGTTCTTATCTCCAAAGTGAAATCCACAGATTTGTAACTAGGTAACTCACAGGCTGCATTCACAAGTTTCTTTGAACCAAAGAAAACTCTGCATCCTGATGACACTAACATCTTTGAACAATTTACTGACAAACCTGAGCCCACTCAATAGTTTCTTTAAAGATGCATATGAAAGAAAGGGTGTGGGTCATTCCCTATGGCTGGCACAAGGGTATTCACACTATTTACTACATCCTTGCTTCAAAGCCTTGCTTTAGTCTCTCTAGGATTATGCTTCAGTAAAAAGCAGGCAGTGGGGGGGGGGGAAACATAATTTGTCCTGTGTAAAAAGAACAATGCTATTACAAAAAGCAGTGCCAGAGGCTCCCACATTTCCGTGTTGCAAAAAGCCACTGCTGCTGCTAAATCACCATTATTACCCTGGAACCACCTGGGAACATGCTAATTTATGCCCAAAGCAATATTAGTATTATTGTTTATTTTACTCTCATTATCTAAATAGGCATAGCCCAAACTAGGTAGGTTGCTGTAATTTCTGTTGTCTCCTAGTAACAAAGAACAGCAGCCAATAGTTTTAGTAAATTTCACTGCAAAGTCAGATATCATTTCTTATTTTTGAGTTGTTCCAACTCTTATCAATAGTTACTAGAGACAGTCAATGTGCTTGGTGCTGGAGAGAAATCACTCAGGTAAGCTGAGGCTACTCCTTCTGTTTCTCCATCTGCTGAGCTGTTAACACGAAGACATATTGACAAGAGCTCAAGGAAAACATGGAATATTTCATCAGTAAGATTATACTGCCCTAGAGACAGATGTTAGAAAGCTGTAATATTTAAAAATAAAGAGATAAACACATGCTTGTAGGGAAAGAATAAAATAGTTTCAAAGGTAAGGGAGAAAATTAAAAAGATGGAAAGATAGATGTGAGATTTGTATTGGCACACAAAATGGCAAATTCTACTTATGCACACACACACAAAAAAGACTTTTATATCTGCCTCAGGCAATCATTTAAGAATAACATTAGGCAGAAATTCTCAGAGTGTTCTGGGGTAGATTTGTAAGAAGTACTTAGCAAGGCTGATTATGATTACAGAGAACAGACTTATCTCTTGTCATCAGATAGTTAATGTCAGGGCTTAGACTTAAATCCATATACACCAGTTTTCATAAAAATTTAAACATGAAATATGCTAAATACTTTGGTAATTCACATTTAGTGAACATAAAAACAATGTTCAGTAATGATAACTCTGGATTTATCTAGTGACTTTCATGGGAGAGGTCAAAGTACTTTGTCTTATTTTTACTAGATTAAAAATACTAAAAAGAGGATTACAACTGAAGGTTATATAAAATATTTACAGATAACATATAGTTGTCATACATTAAGTCAACACTTAACATATTTAAACAGCAGATTCTCCTTTCTGTTGAAGTTTTAATATTTTTGTAAATAAAAGGCAAAAATAGTGGCAATAGGGAAGCAGAAGGAACTCTGGCTTTGAATTCAAACAGACTTAGGTTCAGATTCTGGACACTTCTTTTGCTTTTTTGAGCTTCAGTTTCCTCATCTGTAAAACAAAGATGATGACTGCCTACCTCAGAGTTATTGATAGAATTAAATATATTATTAATAAATGTCACAGCACTGTATGTGAACACTACAGATCCTCAAGAAATGGCAAGTTTCATCATTACAAAAAAAACAATCCACAAACTCACACAATCAAGTGGATTAGGGAATCCAACTTCTGCTTGTATGCCTGAAACACTTACACCTTCTCCTAACTGGGAAGTGGGGAAATGCCTCTTTAAGAAGGAAGAGCATAGGACAAAGGGAAAGTTCCAGAGAGGGGACAAGGAAATAGATATTTCTACCAGAAAAGTGGAGGAAAAGGGCATGCAGTCTGACGCAGTGGTCTGTCTACCCTTTCAAGGTCGAAAACCATATAAATAATGGCAAAAACTGAAATTTAGGAAGTTTCAAGAATTTGCTCTCCTTCCTGTTTAGCATTCCAAGAAACAACCTTGCAGGATAACCACACCCAACATAGGACAACTACAAACAAAAGAAAATGGCAGCATGGAATGGGTCAGCCAAGGAAGGTTCTGTAATGGCAGGCTCAAGCTTCCTTGGGTCTTGCACAGTCGATCATGCATCCAGGTCTTCCTTTATGATCTCAGTAGGATATATGGAAAGTTGTTGAGAGTTGAAAATCAGAAGTCTTTCAGATCACTGTGAGATGATGTCAGAGCAGATGCTGCACAGCAGACAGGTTAAGCCAGCATTCAGAGGGTAGATGTGGCTGAGACGTGTGGACCTGCAACGCTGTTGAGAAGTAAGAGAGTAAATGAGTAAGGGAAGACAAAAGGCTATGGTTGCACTGGAAAGCTATGGAAGAATATTAGTTTAACCAATGACAGGCTTCAGTAGTAGATCAGTAAGGCAACAAGTAACCATGTTTGGACTAAATTTATCTCCACAGAACTCAGGGAGAACTTAGATAATAATATAAAAAATCCAGACTGATCCTCTCCTTCCTACCAGGAGGACATATGAATATATGTCCTGATACCTAAAGCTATTTCTGCCTTTAGAATAAAGGCATGTGTAGGTGTGTAGGTGTGTGTGTGTGTGTGTGTGTGTGTGTGTGTGTATGTATGTAGAACAGTGAAAATATTAAGATCTGTCCTGAAGAACCTTTTGCAAACCTAAAACAGATCCTTCTGCTCCCATCTTTAAATCCTATACCATCCAACTTCACTCAAAAGAAACTTAAATTCTAAAAAAATGAGACTTTTTTGGCTCTTGATAAGTTAGATGCAATGTGTCCAGTTCTTTAAGTATTATTTTCTTTTTCTGAGACCAGAAGAGGAACACAAAACACAAACTATGTATCTTTATTCATAATTTAAAGTGCCCTACCTACATTAAGTAACAGAAAGTAGTATTTATATACATTATTTTCTCTTTAAAATTACAATATGGGTACTTTAGAAGATCTATCCATTTATCTAATAAATCGGGCTGCTCACTAGTAACTACCATGAATGAATAATCTGCCAGACATTAAGGAAACAAATAAGACATGGACCCTATCCTTAAGGTAAAGAGATTTGTGTAATGCATGAAAAGAATAGTTAAACTAAAGAAAGGCTAGTGGAATACAACACAGTAGGATGCCACAACTATAAAGGTGAATTATCTTTTCCCATCTGTCACTTGCACACGGAAGTAATAGATAGAGGTTACTATCTAGAGAAGCAAAAAGCATTTTTTGTACAAAGTCATCATTACAGAAAAGTCTGTTTCCAGAATTACAATGATGAATCAAACTGCAGAATGATATAAAATCCAATTGAAGAGGAATAAGATGTGAAGGAATAGGTTAAAAATACTATCATTATTACCTTTCTCAATTTATTATAAACAGTTAGTATAGGTATGCAAAAGAAATTATAGAAAAACTAAACATTACACGATTGTTTTAATTATCTCAGTAAACACTGCTTGGTATTTTTAAGAAATTAAAAGCTAAACAATTGTAATAAGTGTTCTAGGGTAGTTTAATAGTATAGACAGTTTCATAAAGATTCCCTTCAAAATATGAATTTTATAGTCACAAATAACAAATTAGAATAAAAATAATAATAAAAATATGAACATTATAGCCTTTAATTTCTTAGCTTATTAAGATCAAATTTTTACCAGGTTTTCTTAATGGTTGGTTAGGGAAGCCTGAGGAATATTTACTAATTGTTAATGTGACTTTATGAACATATAACAGAATTCTATAGCTTTACTTTAAAAATATTCTATAATGTTATGAAGATATTAATCTATAAAAATAGGACTGCAGAATGTTTTTAGAAAGGGTTTTGCCCTGACCCTTTGATCCATTATCCATTTACAGAATTTTTAATATTCTATTTTCCTTACCTCTTCTACCATAAAGTATATTAAATCATTTTATACACTAGAGTATAGAGAGAGTACCCAGAAAAAGGATTAAGAGAATCTCTGCTTTAATCAGTTATCTCTGACAAAGTTGGTATTTCATTCATCCTAAATGTACACCATACACTGATTGAAAGGTGACATTGTTAGAGATTATAAATAATTCAACAAATGAAATCTTTCTGATTAGTATTTCAAAACAATATTTTATCTTTTCCCAACCCCCTCCTTTTCTTCATAGAGTGCAGATGCATTTGAAATCTATGGTTTTTGGCATATCTGGGGTAAGGTTATACTAGGAATTTACCAGACCTGTCAGTCTCTTAACTTTCTTCCATATTTCATTATATCATTCCAGTTATAATTAGTTGTCTGGTAAAATTAAGAACAGTCTATTTCAGTGAATGCTCATGTGAACATTTAACAACTTTTTGCTAGAATGACAGCTTAGCGACAGGAAGAATAAACCAGAAAGGGAGAGTCACCGAAGTAACCTTAGTTAACTCAATATTGTCTTCTCAACTGAAAATGCTATGATTTTGCTTTTTTTTTTTTTTTGGTTATTAATCATCAGACACATATTTTTTGTCAGGAGATGTGCAGCAGTTTGATGGCATTCCTGCCTCAACCAGCATGTTTTGAACTGACCTGTCTTCATTGCTGTGGCTCCCTAGAAACTTTGCTGCTGATGAGTGTTGATTCAGCTGAATGCTTTGACATTCAGCTTGTCAGTGAAAGCTATTTTAATCGTTAAGATGCATCCCCCTTCCAAGACTGCAAACTGTTGCTATTCACACACAACATTCTATCATTTGATTACTGCAGAGAAGCAGAGAACCTGAATAGTTACTAGTACTAGAGATCATTTTAAGGGTCCAAATCTACAGAATATTTATTATGTGAGGAGTTGTGCTTAGCAATTTATAGAAATCATCTTATTTAATCCTCACAGTTGTGGAGTCTGACTACGTAAGTGTGAACCTCTGTTCTCTACTTACTACCTACATGATGCGCATCCCTCTCTGTGACATGATTTCCTCCTCTTTAAACTGGAATAACAGTACCTACTTCACAACAATATCAGAACTACATGAGACACTTCAAAGACAGTCTGTAGAATAGTAAATATGGCATAGTGAGTTCCATAGTGTTAGCAATAATTTTTATTACTGCTTTTTAGATGAAAATACACTATTTTCCTTCATCAGCTGTCCTACTCCCCCATCACTTCTTTAACTGTCTCTGTTGCTCAGACTCAAAAACGTGGAAATAACAGAAAATGAAATTTTTTCAGGACATTTTTCTATACATATCTGAACTCTAGCTCCATAAGAGTAGCACCACAATTGTAGCAAGTAAGAAACTTTTTTTTTCCTTTTCTTTTTTTCTTTCCCATTAGGAGGCTAGGCCTATGTTCTGGTGACTTCCTGGTGAATGGGTTAAAAGTGAAGCTTCAGACAGTTTTGAGGATTTAGGAGCAGAGAGGTCATTTCTGTAGGCTTCATTGAGAGGCATGACAGCAACAAGGTGGTAGAATTTCATAGTTTGCTATGCCCCGGCTTGTGCAAAAGCAGAAGAAATACATGTTATGTGTGTATGCAAAGTAACCTAATATACTATGTCAGTGGAGGGGGGAGCAACAAGGATCCCATGCTACTAGCTCAAATTCCCACATTCCAGAGCACAATGGGAAGCTTCCCATTGTGGCAGACACTTCACTGTGCTCTTACCAGACTCCTTTCTTTCCCTCCTGAGCACAAAGCTAAACTACATTTCTCAGTCTCTCCTACGCAATAAGCTGGGGAAATGGGACTCACTTTTAAAACCTATATGAACTTCTATGTGTACTTTCTTCCCTTATCTGCTACCTGAGTGTCTATGACACAGTAGAAGACACAATTCTATAAAATGGCAGTCACTGATTCAAGAACTGAAAATTAGCATTTCTTTCAACCATGAATATAAGCACTAGTGAACAGGAGTATTAGTAATACTCTGTCACCAATGAAAATCATGTTCAAATTATATCACTGTTATTAGAGATCTCAATATTTATAACCAAATTTTCTTTGAAATAACTATAATTCAATAGACACACTGGTAGAGTTTTAAACTTCATATTCTAATAAGTACATATATTATGATAAAAGGCATTTTAAAAATAGGGATAACTGTATTTCAAAACATTATTTTCTTTTATAATCCCATATGATTTTTATTGCTTTATAAAACATTTTTCTGAGGTGGGATTCTCAGGCTTCACTAGATTGCCCAAAGGGGCTACAGAAGAAAATTAACAAAAATCCCCTCTAAATGGATCCTCAAATGACTTTCTGGAGTACAGTTCAGTTCCTTTTTTCCTCTGCTCTATGTAACCCCACCACATTGATGTGAACAATAAGATTTTAATGTGTTTAGTTACTGATATTTGGAGGTTATTTTTAAATTTTATTTATTTATTTATTCTAATTTGTTATATATGATAGCATAATGCATTTCAATTCAAATTACATATATAGAACACAGTTTTTCATGTCTCTGGTTGTACACAAAGTAGTGTCACACCAATCATTTCTTCATACATGTACTTAGGGTAATGACATCCATCTCATTCCACCGTCTTTCCTATCCCCATACCCCCTCCCTTGGAGGTTATTTTTTACAGCAGTTGTTAGCAGTTATTATACAAAATAATAAGCCTTTGTTACAAAACAGCCCAAACATGGTATAGAGTACCAAAGATCTAAAGAAGATTATGGGTGGAAAAGACCCAGAAGTGAAGAGTGAGGACCAAAGATTAGATGGGATGATTAAAAATATCTCAACAGATTCTACCTGGGAAGAAAGTGAAGATTAATGTGGAAAAACATTAACTTATAACACAACAATTTTAGTAATATAAAAAAGCAGCATAATGTTTTTGAATTTGTACACTAAGTTTATATCTGCCACAAAATAATTAATTTTCTTATTTAATATTTTTCTCTTCCCTTACTAGAGTGGCAGCTATTTTTGTTTCTCATAGCAGATGCTATGTACTTTTTAATTCTTCAAACTTTATATATCTAAATATAAATATATATGTTTATATATATTTATATACATAAATATATAGACATATAAAGTTTGAAGAATTAAAAAGCACTTAGATACACACACACACACATACACACATACACAAAGACACACACAGTTTTAAAGCAATCTTATTACTGTTATTATTAGCTAGAGTTTAATATAAAGAGAAACAAAGAGCCATAAAAATTAGATAGATATTGCAGAAGTCCTTCTATATAGAAATTTGAAAGTTGATGATTTTTTAATAGTCTGTTGATTTAAATAAAATAGCCTTGATAGAACTCTCCAGGGTTTTAAAGACAGTTATAAATTTGCCAATACTTCTTTCAAGGTATTAAGTTTTATATAATTTTATCTTCCCTCTTAGACTATTTTGCTGCCTTTATTTTAACCCTAGATCAAACAAATCATACTGTGAAACCTTCAGGTTATTAAAAGGCAGATGCAAAGCCTCCTTTGAGGATAGTCTCTTTCTAGCCCCCAAGAAATTAATGTATCTAAACAATTTTAACCTATAGAACTATAATGAATGAAAATAAAATGTGGTTAGTGTGCTGGATATTCAGGATCTCAGCATAAAAATTCATAAAAAATATTGTCTAACTTATTCTTAAACGCTATATACTATAAATATCAGTCTGTCCTGATCACTGCTGTATACCCAGCTCCAGATCTAATGCCTAGCAAATAAGAATTTTTATGAATGACTAAACTGGTCAAATAGAACTCGTTTAAATTATATGCAGTGTACCCACATTGGACTTTGCCAGAAGTCCATTTACACATGTAAGGGTAAGGTCACTAGGGTAAGAAGTTAAAAGTTCAGAACTGCCAAAAGCTCACCAACCCTTGAAATTGTTAAAGGGATAAAAATTCTTTGATGGAAGAAATATTCTGGTATTATATCATTTCAATTGATATTATTTGTAAAAAAGCAGTCTTTTCAAACTACTTTTCAGTGGCTTTTTAGTATGTTTTATAAAGTACAATAGCTGTTTTTCTCTTTGTTTCTTCATGTTAATTTTTTTCACATTAAAAAAATATATAATAAGGAACCCCCTGAGTACCCATTTCTCACCTTAACAATTACCATATATTGCAATCCTTATTTTTTATCTTTAGGGGTGTTCAGCGCTGGGTATTGAACCAGGGTGTTGTGCCATTGAGCCATGCCCCCAGGCAGCCATTCTATTTCATTTTACCTCCTCCTCCTCAATTTTTTTTTACAGTAGAATTTTAAAACAAATTGTAGACAACATTATTTCAACTGTAATTATTTTAGTATATATCTCTTAAAAAATACTTTTTTTTTTTTTTTGTACTGTGCATGGAACCCAGAGGCACTTTACTACTGAGCTACATTCCCAGCCCTTTTTATTTTTTATTTTGAGACAGGGTCTCACTAAGTTGCTGGGGCTGGCCTCTGACTTGCCATCCTCCTGCCTCAGCCTCCTGAGTCACTAGGATTACAGGGTGCATCACTGTGCCAGACCTAAAAGATAAAGACTTTTTATAATCTAACAATATAATACCATTTAGCAAAATTATTTTAAAAAATCTTTAAATTCTTAATAGAATACAGTTCATTTTCATGTTCAAATTTTGCCTGATTATCTTAAAAGTTTTGGACTTGGTATATTTGAATTAGGATCCAATATTCCTAACATTTGAGTTTGGTTGATATTTTTAAAGTTTGCTTTAATAGAAACTCCTTTAAAAAAAAATGCTACTTACTTGTTGAAAAAAACGGTCATTTGTTCTATAGAAATTTTCTCATTCTAGATTAGGTTAACAGCATTCTCCTATATAGTTCCAGCTATTTTCTGTAAAAGTGGTAGTTGCATTTTACATACACATACAATTTTCTTTTGGCAAGAATAGTTCATAATTGATGCTATGTAATTTCTGTTGAATTGGGAGGTACATAATATTCATGTCTACTTTTAGTGATGTTAAGATTAATGACTGACTTCAAGTGTTTATTGTCAATCTGATCCATCGTGACAAAATACTCCAAGTTTCACCTAATGTATTAACTATTGATAATCATTGGCTAGAACCATTATTTCATCAAGCAAAATGATGATTTTATAATGATGATTTTATAATTTTATATGATTTTATAATTCATTCCCACTTATTTACTGGAGTTCTAAAAAAAAAAGAAATTTCTTTCACCAATACATGGTTACCCTGAATTAGAACCCATACCAAAAAAGGAGGATAAATGTATGTTTCTTTTACTTAATTTGATCTATACACGCTGTATGTTAGTGTCACATTTACTTCCAAGAGTGAGCAACCTACACTACACTTTTCCCTAAAGTAACAGGTATTTTTAAGGTGAAACCTAGTATGACTGGAATGGTCTAAGATAGGATGTAATTGGGCAGGCTAAGGTATGATGCAAGGATTATAGGATAGGAAGCGATGGATCAGGGAAGAGAGAATACCTCAAGCAGGCTCTAGGAGGCGGAATCCAAGTCTTCTGAGCTGTCCTGGACATCGGTGCTCCCCGTGGATTCGCTAGGTTCCTTGCTGTCACTCCCACTATCAGGGACAGCCGGGTTCTCCTGCTGACAGGTCGTTTTAGAACCAGGAAGTGTGCTGCTCTGGCTCTCCTGGTTCTCCCTGGAGCCCAGCACCACATACCCGCCCTTCTCCTTCAGCTCCGGCTGCCTTCTTAGCTCATCTGCCATTTGTGAGAGATCCCGCTTCATAGCATAAGCATCTTCCCCATCTGCATAGTATTTGGGTTCCACCTCACTGACCTGAAAGTTGAGAGTGTTAGAATAGAGGTGCAAGGCCGCCCGGTTACTCTTCCTGACGTGCAGGGACACATACTTGGCACTAAAGTTCTCTATCATGGCCCGCGAGGCCTGGTCCATCAGCTTCTGAGCCAGGCCGAGGCGCCGGTGTGAGCGCTTCACAGCCAGTGAGGTGATATGCCCATGGGGGACATCATCAGGGTCCTCTTCCATTTTGGCCAGGACATAGCCCACAATCTTCCCGTCCTCGTCCTCAGCGATGTAGGAGAGCTGAGGCCAGGAAAGGCCATGGTAGAAATAGTATTTCATCTGGTAGTTCTCGGGAAGGCAGAGGAGGTTGCAGTGTTGCATGTTCATCAGGTCGTCTGGCCGAGCATTGCGGATGTTCATAATGGCGGAGGGCAGGGAGCCGGTAGGACTGAGGTGAACAGAAAAAGGCTATCTCCAGCACAAGGGGCCCGGTTCGCCTCGGCTAATTGAGTCCCGGCAGCCAAAACCTAGCGCCTAGGGCGTGGAGGCGGGAAGGCGGGAAGGCCAAAGGCGGAAAGGGCGGTGCCAAGTGGCTCCGGAAGTGCCCGCCACAGCCAATGAAGTTCCACCTCTTTGTTCCTGCGCTCCTGGCGAGGGGGCGACGGGGGGGGGGGCGGAGCGGGTGTTCTTGAGAATCCTTAGGGTTTAAATGAAGTGACCTATGATGTTATTACCTTTGATTCAGTTTTAATTTTTGAGTACATCTGGATATGTTTTCACCATCTGAACAAACCCATATAACCAGAATTTAGATCATTGCCTGCACCCCTTCAGGAGTACCATATTATGCTCCCTTCCAATATCTGTCACACCCCACGTCCCCAAACTAGCACTAGACTTCTAAGAGACTTTGCATAAATGCATTTTTTTTTCTGTGCAGGGTCTCTTTTTAATTTTTGTTTATTTCCCCACTCGTGAGTTTCAGCTACTTTCGTTGTGTACACTTGAGGGTTCTTTATATTCGTTCCTGTTGTATATTCCATTGCCAGAATATCACAAATTATTCATCCATTTTACTGTTGATGGTTATTTGTGTTATTGAATATGTCTTATTGACACATATTTACCTACAATTAGGATCAGCAGATGTAATGATGTGCAAGTTTTATAAATATTGCTAAGCAATTTTCCAAACTGATTGGTACACCTTCTTATCAACATTAGGTATTTCTCATCTTTTTCATTTTGTCAATTTTTGTGTATGGGTAGAGATACTACATTGTGGTTTTATTTTGCATTTCCCTGGTGATTGGAGAGGTTGAGCACCTTTTGAGACTTATTAATTTTTTTTTATGTTCTCTTTTGGAATGTTACTGCTCAAGTCTTTTGCTAATTTTTTTCTATTGTGTCTTTTTCACATTAATACTTAGGAGTTTTTTTTTTTCAAAAATACATTCTCCATATGAATCTTTTACCAGATATATTTCTAACAAACATCATACTTTTTCTTCTTTTCCTTTCTCTTTTCTTTCATTTTTCCAATGCTGTGTTGAAAACAGCATCAAAGTTCTTAAAACCAATATTTTTACCACATATTCCAAAATGACTTTTCCCCCTGATAGTGCCACAAACAGGCATGTCTAAATAAATATTAGAAAATAATTTTTTAAAAAAATCATTTTAAGTTAATACTTTACTCTGACAGTGGGTAATAGTTATAAGACCAAAAAGTGCCTTTGCATTTAATATGAGCCAATGGCAAACAGAGATTAATAAAAATGTATATTTTATTAGGCTAACATTAGAATGCAATCATATGTTTAGGACTTCTGTGATTGTATGTGGACTAGCTATAGGTAGAGAGGCTCTCTAGACCAAAGCGGACTAATCCTCAATTAGAATAGCAACTGCAGGCAAAGGGACAAGTCAAGGGAAAACTGACTTAGTTTAGGCACTGGGTCATCTTTGTCTTTATGAATTTGTGTTCACATCTAATACAATTCCTTTTTTCTCATAGCAAAAGGTAATGTGAGCCAGATGATTATCAAAGAAAATTTCATTCTGACCAAGTCCTCAACAAGTTTTCTTTAAAGAAGGAAAAAGCCTCTTTGGCTTCTTATGACAAATGTCCTGACTCTAGGATGCTAATTTATATCAAATATAATGGAAGCTTTGGATTAGAAGTACATCCCAAATGTTGTGCAGCAATAGCTGGCTACACCCAAGAAGGTGGACATTTGTTAAATATGAGTGGGACTTTTAGGCAGTTTTTATCCTAGAAGAGAAACTCAATCCTGGCAATAATGGTGTCATATTCAAAAGTGAGAACTGAGAAAAACATTCGTATATGTTTTTTAGAGTCTTTGTAATAAGAAGGTCTATTTAAGAATTTAGATTTCCTGAAAAGGAGTAGCGAATGAAAGGCTATAAACATCTAAAGACAGTTTCTAGTAGACAAAAATTATCTACAACTCTTTTCCAAATTTGGGAGAACAACAACAACAAAAAGAGCCTCAATAAATTTGTATCAATGTGAACTGAAGATCTGTATGGTTTGGGGGCTGTATTATAAAATAAAATAAAATGTATTAAAGAACCTTTTCTGGATCATATTTAGTAGTATGTGAGATTCAGGTTAACAAAAGGAAGATCTGATAATGACAGGAAGTGGTGGTAATACTGTAGTGTGCACTACTTGAAAATATTCAAATTTCTGTCTCTGCTAGGTCTGCTTTGCCTAATGAATGCAAATGTGAAAGATTTTGTTAGGCCTTTTCTTGAAGTTTTCCAATGATTCAACATTTTGATTAATTCTGAAATATAATCAGACTTAATTTCTAGATGTGATAGGCAAGCAGCCATTGTAATGATTATTGTTGCATGTGGGAGAATTGCCTGGACAAGGTTCAAGTAGCCATAGTATTTGCTTTGGCTCTTTCTCATCTTTTCAGATTTGAGACACATGTCACCCTTTATATGAAGCTGTCTCTTACTATGTTTTCCTGAGGAAATTGAATGGCTTCCTTATTCGTGTATCAGTTTCACTCATATCTGTATGTGTATTTCATGCTTTCTCTTTTTTTAAGAGAGAGAGAGAGAGAGAGAGAGAGAGAGAGAGAGAGAGAGAGAGAGAGAGAATTTTTTAATATTTATTTTGTAGTTTTCGGCAGACACAACATCTTCAACATCTTTGTTTGTATGTGGTGCTGAGGATCGAACCCGGGCCGCACGCATCACATCCCCAACCCTCATGCTTTCTTAAATATTTTCTCCTCTGTTTCTTGAAAACATGACCTTGCCTTATGAAAACTGTTGTTTTTTAGGGACTAGCAAATTGCATGCTGTATAGTGTGTCTTGAATGGGTGCTTATAGAATAAATATGTAATTGGAGGTACAAGTATATTAAGACAAGCTGAACAAGACCTTTTTTTATGAAATATAAATAAATTGTATGATTACAGTACATATTTTTGTGTGGTCCTATCTATTATCATTGCTTAAAGTGCATAATGAAAAAATATGATGGTATTTATGATGTTACACTTTTTATACTTAGCATTATTTTCACTAACCAACTACATTATCTACCAAATGCTACACTGTCTAGGCTACTCAGAGATTTGCAGATCATTTTCATTATCTAAAAGAAAAGTAAATTGAACATAATTTAGTAATCAGTTTAGAGCTCTAAATTTATTTTTTGGCTTGGGAAGTAAGTTGGTCATGGTCTATTGTACTAATGTTCATTTGTGACGATTTACCTGCAAACTCTATTTCTCACATTTCCTTGTCATGTGGCTTCCAGAGATATTTGACCTAGGGGAGGTAGGGATGGGACTGGGGATAATAGGAGAGAGGAAGGTGAGGAGAAAGCCGAATAATTCTCCCTCATTGGCTCATTCTCAGCAGTGTCTTACAGTAGTGGATGATTTTCTCTGTGGTTTTAGCTCCCCACTAGACAGACTTTATTGAGTTCTGATTCCCACAAGCAGCTCCTAGTATATGGAAGTGAAACTTCTCTCCTTTGCACATTGAGCCCTAGAATTGGTAGTGGCTTCCTACAATTGCTAAACTTTTGGTTGCTTCCCCATACCCTATTGGCTACTCAGCTCTTGAAGCACTCATTACCTATATATTAAATTTCCTCAATTTTAATTACATAGAGTGGTTTCATGGCTGGCCTCACTGATGTAAGAATTACAGTAATTGATAATGTTTTCAATGTAAGTTTAAATTTTATAATTATTTTCCAAGTCCAGGATATGTAACTTAAGTACCCTTCCATTGATGAATGATGGAATAAGGCACAATATTCAGAAACAGTCTGAATTCACTGTCCTTGGGTATGATGAGGGAAGATTCCTTCAATTTATAGAATTCCTGATTGTAGAGATACCAGAAATCTGTTTCATCAGCTCTACATTATTTCCACATAAGTGTCCCAATTGTCTTTAAATGTCATTAGGAAGTCCTCTACTATAAGGACTATTGGTATAGAAGTAACTGATAGTATTGTGTCAGGAGCAATTGGTTTGAAAGCCCATATACATTATTGTATGGAAATATGTGTGGGAGGGAAGAGTGATAATTGAGAGGAAGTGATGTATAAGGTCAAGCTAATATAGTTAAACAAGTGATATGACATTAAGAAAACATGTTGGGTATTGTGAGAAGAAATTTGACTTCCTGGTTTAATCACTTATTTAATATAATCTTAGACCACTTAAATTTCCTCAATTCTCTTTTCTCTAATAGAGGAGAGAAATCTAAATGTGATAATAGGGAGGTAGAATATTCTTTTTATTTTTTTCTGTTTTTCTGTTTTTGTTTTTATAATAGGGATTGAAATCAGGGGCACTTCACCACTAAGCTACATCCCCCAGCCATTTTTTGTTTGTTTATTTGTTTTAAATTTTAAGACAGGGTCTACCTAAGTGCTTATGACCTCACTAATTTGCTGAGGTTGTTCTCCAATTTACCATCCTTGTGAATCAGCTTCCTGAGTCACTGGGATTACAGACATGGACCACCGTACCTTGCCTGGCAGAATTTCTTGATGAGAACAAAATGACCTGCAAAGAAAAATAATATAGAATATGCATATTAACAGAAATTGTGAATAGATTTCAAAATAATTATATTAGAAAAATTAATACTAGGATAACAAAAAGGCAAGGAGACATAATTTCTAGCTTTTTCTTGTGGAAGTTGCAACATTCCTGGTCTAACTGGGTTTTTGCCAGTTAAATCACTTCTCAGTATTTATCCAAAAGAATTAAAGTCAGTGCTGGAGATATAGCTCAGTTGGTAGAGTGCTTGTCTCTCATGTACAAGGCCCTGGGTTCAATCCCCAGCACCATAAAAATTAAATAAAATAAAATCAGCATAGTGTAGTGATTCACGCATACCTACATTTACAACAGATCAATCACAATAGCCAAATTATAGAAACAGTTAAGTTGTCCTTCAGTAGATGAATAGATAAAGATATTATGGTGTGTGTGTGTGTGTGTGTGTGTGTGTGTGTGTGTGTGTGTGTGTGTATATATATATATTATGGAGTTCTATTCAGTCATAAAGAACCAA